TATTTTTACTATTAATATTACATACATATTTTTACTTAAACAATTAATAAAATTAAAATTATTTTTTAATTTATATATATTAATTATAAAAAATATATTAAATACATCTTTAATTGATAAAAGACTGATGAAAAACTTCCTTAATAAATTCCTGAAGCGTGCCGTTATAACTCGAAGTCATTTAGTCCCCAAAGCCGTACGGCCATCCCAATATAAAATCACCTTTTTCTCTTCTCATCCTTTAATAACCCAACCTTCCCTCCGTTAATACACCCCACAATGTATAAACTTATCCTTCTTGTATCTTTCATCGCCCAATTTCATAATGCAATACACGGTGCAGTAATATCATGTAGCCAAACACCATTTCCTATAGTGTGTGAATCTTCCATGAGTAAACATCTCAAAGGAAACGTAAGTCAAACCGAATTCCACCACATTGCCCTAAAAGTCACCACCGACCAAACCATACATGCACACAAGCTTATCTCAAATATGGACATTAGTTCATTGGATGATCGAGCCAAGTTGGCTTGGTCCGACTGCCTGCTGTTTTACGAGGATACAGTTAGACTGCTTAACCTGTCGATGTGGTCAAATAATCTAGAAGACATTCAAACGTGGTTAAGTGCAGCAGTCACTAATCATGAAACATGTCAAAATGGATTCATCGATTTTAACATGACTGATTACCTGCAACGCCTACCATTCAAGATTGAAAGTTTCTCTATGCTGCTAAGAAATTCTCTTGCCATTAATAAAGCAGCCGCCTCTGCAGGCTTCAAAGATAAACCTGGGCGCAAACTCTCTGATGGATTTCCAACATGGGTCTCGGCCGCTGATCGGAAGCTTTTGGAGGAAACTACAAATCCCCTAAAAGTTAATGCAGTGGTGGCACAAGATGGGTCCGGTGACTTTAAGACCATAATGGAAGCAATGGCAGTGGTGACTTCAGGTAGTAAAACATTGAATGGGACACAGGGATTTGTTATATACATAAAGAAGGGGGTTTACAAAGAAAATGTTGAGATTAAGATGTCCGGAGAAAGCATTACGTTTCTTGGAGATGGGATAGACGCTACGGTTATTACAAGCAACAAGAGTTTTTCACAAAACCAAACAACTTTTCGCACGGCAACTTTAGGTAAGTTCAACAGGTAAAGATTAATTTTTTTTTTTCTTCTTTTATAGCTTTGAGGATTCAAAACTCAAACTATAAATCGACTATGATTATGGTCCCATTCAATTTACTTAGTTTAATAAAATTTGTCAAAATTTTATTTTACCTTGATTGTTAAAACAACTGATAACAAATAATATTAAAATTAATTTATAAATAGTTATTTTTAAATATTATAATCAATTGTTTAAAAAATAAATAAATTGATAAAATTACAATTAAATTAACAGTCTTAACAAATTAAATGGTGACAATAACTTAGCTCTATAAGTCATTCTAATGTTATGGAAAAAAAAAAAGGAAAAAGAAAAGAGAAGTGTCATTTAGTCATAAATCATATATGATAAGTTTGTCTAACTTGTGTTCTCATTTTCGGTGCGCTCTTATTTTGGGTGGAACATTCCACTATGATTCCAATTAGTAATTAATAGGGAGGGATTTGAACTAAAAAATAGATTCTAGAAGAGGCGAAAAAAAAA